TGCTCGTGTTTGCGGTGCAAGAGTACGTCTCCACTAAGATAGTAGGATGATAGATGATGTGGATAAATATAGCAGCTTTCAGATACAGAGAAAGAGTGAGCCGGTGGACAGAGAGAGGGGGGAGATTTAGGATTGAGTCAGGGGGGCAGGATGGCAGAAATTCGGACTGACTCACTTTGGAAGGTGGAGTGGAGAGGATTGTTTCCTGCATACAAAACGTGTCAACTTCCATTCCGTTTTGACGGCCACAAACCTTAAAAGAGCAAGTGGGCGTCCCTGCAGGTGTCCCCAGGTCTATATATATATAAATACCCGAGCCCTTCCTAACCAGTTGGCATGCCACCAGACACTTTGTGCTCCACAGCGCCCCCTCTCTGCTACGTATGCACATTGTCATTTTTTTCTTCTCTTTGGGAATGATGAACCTGTATATATCCAGTGGTGTATCCAAAAAAAAAAAGGAGCTTTAAAATGCAAACGAATGAGAATCCAAATAAATAGTCTTCTGTTACTTCAGCTGCCATTTTTGTTGTGTTTTTTTAAAGTCACAGCACCTTCCAGGAGTTCGTCTTTCTCTTAAACGTGTTGTGGGTGTTGAGGACTTGTGTGTTGTAGTCCTGCAGTATCAGGAATGACCAGGGCACAGTGTTGAGAGGCACGAAGGTCTCGGAGAGGGCATACACACACAATACCGGTCCAGGAGGAAAGAGATCGTCCACATCTTGACCCCAGTCCTTTTCTCTGCTGTGAAGAGAGGTGGGTAGCCGATATGGTGGCCACCAATGACTGGCCTTGTTCGTATCTTACAGACAGTACAATTCAGGGGTGTGGGTCAACTTTGTTCAGGGGCCTTTTTAAAGTAAAATGAACTCGGTTCCCCAGTTTGCCTTATGAGTTATCACCCATAGTCAACAATACTTAAAATGCGTCCTCAGTGGTCACTTTCTTGGGGTGGGGACTGAATGCATTGCAACAGTTTAGCAGGGGCTGAAAACAGACCTGACTGACGTGTGAGGTGTTGTCTCCCTCCATTTATTTGTGCACTGAGTTTAAAAACAAACCCTAGCACCTCATCGCCAACGCGTCATGTTCTGCCAAATAACTAAATATATTAATGGTGTGCTTTGTAAAAAGAAAACCCCTACAGACAAGCATCCTTTCTTTAGCTTTTGGAGTATTTTAATGTTTTCCCCGTCTTCTCGTGTTCTAAATCATAAATAGGTAAATATTCCAACACCAAAAGGAATTTCAACCAATTCAGTGGAATAGAATACATATAAAAAAACACGTCTTCTTAAAACACACTGAAGTGCATGAAGCACCAAAAAAATTTTTTTTTTTACAACAACAGTCTTGTTCACGCCGGAAATGGTCAAAAACCAAACAAATATGATTCTACCAATACCTTTACGACGCTCTCTTTAACTGAGGTAATCACCTTTTTGTAAAAATAACAATAGCTATAAAAAAAAGGATCTTAATGACCCTTCGTAGCTGAGTATTACAGACTCCGATGGAATTCGGGGGTGTGCTGTAACATTTGTAACATCATTTAACACTGTAACTAACGTGTAACATTTGGGAAGTATGACCGTGGATCTGTACAGAAAGATATACACATATTTGACCAGGCGTTATG